GCAGGAATGTTTACTTCATGCTCTTAAAAGCCATTAAAAGCCATTCAGATAGTGGGAGAGCTAATGTCCCTACTTATTCTGTGGAAGCAGGACAACCAATGTGTAAGTAGCTTCATGAGGTGTGTTTTAAATGATGCCCAGAACAGTGCTATCTTATTAAATGCTCCATGAATATCAAAGATTCAATTACTACTATTGTAGCCCAATTATTATTATTATTATAAACACATGGTGTTATTGAAATATTTTGAGCCAATGTTACAGGAAACCAAGCCTAAAATCTCATAGCCAAGAAGCTAGATTTTACCTGCAGCAAACATCTAGATCATGTCACACATTGTTCATTATTTTTTATGGCATTTTCCAGAGCTTTTGTCTACTTCCCAGAATTAAATGACTGAAAAGGGCAGATTAAATAGTATGGCAAATATATTCACAAGCACAACATTTCCAAACAGTTTATGACCACACCTCAAAGCTTATTTTGGTATGTTAGTTGTTTTCTCCAGTTTATTTGAGAATAATTTTATGAAAATTAGAGTTTGGACAAATGCAGGAGTGTTTTCTCCCTTGCAAAAGAATGGGACATTCCAATTGTCTTCAGAAAATAAGTAACTTTACTTCTAAGATTTAAGTTAATATCCTTGAAAATTAGCTCATGCAAACTTTCTTCAACGACTTTAATTAAAAGCATAATCTAGAAGAAGTTTCCCTACCTCCACCCCACCTTAAAGAATACGTAGTACACAAAAAGCATCATCTGGCTCCAAACACTTGCTCAGAAATGGTTCTTATAAGCTAAGGATAAGAGAGGAAGGAAAAGGAGGGGACAGAAGTCACTAGCTGAGCCAGGAAGGCAAAACCTTGGCCAAATCCTATTTCTGTAGCCTGCAGCAAGACTGGATAATAATATAAACATTTCATTGGGTCTCTTTCCCAAAGTGACTCCACAGTACAGCATGGTGCTTCAGATAAAAGAAACATTGCTCTTATTTCTTTAACAAATGAAATGTGAATTTAATGCATTTGCTTTGGTGAAAACAATTCAGGTTATGGACAGAATATCTACTTAGGTCTTTGTCCCATTAGGGCTGGCAATTCACTTAATGGGGTGTCTGAACTATTTTTTTTTTCTGAATTGTTCCCCCATCTCACCCCAATCCTCACTTCCAACTGTCTCTCTCAGTTCCAAACAAATTGAATTATCTATTTTTACGTATACACATCTCATGATTTTTACCGTTGCTCACACTATGTCCTACTCCATTTCTTCTGTCCAAGGCTTCCCTATCCTTCAAAGGTCTAGTTCCTAAAAATCCTCAACTCATTTTTTCTGAGCAGATATTTACTGAGCTCCATTTATGGGCCAGGTGTTTTGTTAGTTTCTGATACTATTATGATGAGCAAAACAGACATCATCTTCATGGAGCTTACGTTCCTAAGCCAGCAATAAGGTCCCCTCCACTGAGCATCTATAGCACATGTAGATATAGGTATAGATTATTCCTATACTATGACATAGCCTTTTATACATTAAAGGGAGCACTCTACTACCTCCAGGAAAAGACTCAGAGCATGGCTTCCGTTCTGTATATCACTCATCATATCTCAGTCAGTAAATATTAGTTGAATGAATATGGCAAGCATAAAAAGACCTCTGAAATAAAGGGTTCAAGAATTAACACCAAAGAACACATTAGCTAAACATTTTTTAATCAAAGACAGTGAGTCAACCTAGCATTATTGGCTTGTGATTATGTTACTTTGTAGCTTCCCAAGGAGGGATGCGGGAGGAGAGAAGAATGAATGGAGAGAAAAGTTTCTAAACTAACCAACTTTGAGGCTGGTCAGCTTTGTGGGTTTCCTGAACTCAGGAGGTTGTGCATCTAGCACTGGAGAAAGAAGAGGAAGGGAAGGAAAAGTGCACAAATTAGAAGCTTTCCACTTACCATATGGAATAAAATAGAAGAATAAGGAAAAGTTGTTCTATGATGTGATTGAGTAAGGGCAAGTGAGGGTATTGAAGTTTTTATTTGCTGTGTTCTGTTTTCTTATTTTTGTATTCTTTTGATAAACAGAGGTGGCAGAAAGAATTATTGCTTCAAATAAATCAATAATGAGATTTTAATATAAAACTAATATTAATATAATTGATTCTGTTGGTCCCTGAAGTTCTGAAACCTTTTACAATTTAAGTAAAAAGAATAAGTGTCAACAGATTAGAATATTGATTCTCTTCATTAAATACGAAGTATTTTTCCTACTTTTATGAATTTCTGCATTTGAAAGTCAGCATT